AATGAAGACTTTGGAGTGGCCTAGTCAAAGTCCTGAACTGAATCTAATTAAGATGCTGTGGTGCCGCATGACCTTAAAAAGGTTCTTGCTCAAAGACTCTCCAGTGTGGCTGAATTATAACAATTCTCCAAGGATGAGAAGGTTGAAATTCCTCCACAACACTGTAATAGACTCAATGGCAATTGTATAAAGCAATGGTATAAAGTAACAAATTACAAATACACAAATCACTGTAATTGAGTAGTTTTTCTCAGGAATTGTAATTTACTAAGTAGTTTCAAAAATGTGTACTTTTACTTTCCCTAAAAGTATCGGTACTTTTACTCCACTACTTTCCTTCAACCTGCAGTCACGACTTTATTTTTTCTTGTCTATGGGGATTAGAAAAATCAGTCTTGTGATTCCTGTCCAATGAAATCGCACACAGAAGGTAAATGACATCATAATGAACTACCTCAAGACATGGGCGCTTTGTAATTGCAACAAACTGTCTGCCGACATCCAACATCCAATCAACCAAATATCAACATCTAATAATGTTACAGCTTGATGTTGTGTGGACGTTACCACTCGGACGTCTATCAGATGTTGGATTTGAGTTGCCATACTTGATCAATAAATGTCAGTATTTGACATCAGTATGACATTGGATTAAGATGTTGGCTCAAATCAAATCAAATATGTGAATGTGTATTTACAGTACTTTTCATTTGCAGGTGAATGAAACAGCTGAGGGTAACAATTCAGCAAAGTATGTGTACTACTTCATTCGTTTCATCTGTGGATTCCTGTTGCCCTTTCTGGTCATCTTTATCTGCTACACACTGGCTGCTATTGGGATCCGCAGGACGAGACTCTCTGGCAAATCAAGGCCTCTTCGCATTCTTGCTGTTTTGGTCTGTGCCTTTTTCCTATGCTGGGCTCCATATCACTTTCTAAGGCTGGTCAGGTTTGTAAATGAAGACAATGAGGTGGTAAAATTAGGATGGAGAATGGTTTCAGACTTAACCTATTTTAACAGCTGCATTAACCCAGTGTTGTACCTCTTCATGGGACTGGATGTTAGGCAGCTCTGTAAGCAAAGTTTGTTTGGGATTTTTCATAGAGCACTTACGGAGGAAGGTCAAAATCGGTCCCAGCTGTCCACTAAAGAAGAAAGTTGTAATTCCTTTCCAAAGGCTGCAGTTGTTGAGTGTGTAAATAGATTTTAAGAGTTTTTACTTTGTTTTTCTCTCTTGTTTGTTTGTCTGGTCCATTAAATAGCACAAAGTGTTTAATGGGGAAAGGGGAAAAATCTATCACTGTGCCTGGTCTTCTGGTTAATTTCAGAGGACGTTCATATATTGCACCTTTTGTGCATGCAAGTTCATAAATTTTAATGCAAATGTGCAGCGCAATGCTTGTTTTTTCCTGGCATATCTAGAACATTATGAGTTAAAAACATCTCAACTTTTCAGAATGCCTTAAGCGAACCACAAGTCAAGTGACAAGAACCAATCAGCTTCACACATTGTATGGAATATACACATTTCAGTAATAACAGTAGACTATTTACCTCAGAAAAATACACTGCAAGGCTTTATACTTTTCACCTTAAGTAAGACTTGTATCAGAGCTACAGTAAGGGATTGTCAGTGGCGGAACCTCATAGAGCACTTATGATGGCAGCATAATAATCAATGCCACTGGTGCTCAAGCTCAAAAGTGCATTGAAATCGGTGGAGGAATTGGCATGGTTCGTGATTTATACACCAAACCCATCAATTTGAAATTAAATGAATAGAGGGGCTTTAACTGCAGTCTGTCAGCTTTAATGTGAGGCTATTTACTTCCAAATCAGGTGAACATTGTAGAAATTATATCAGTTTGGATAAGTGCCTCCCACTTGTTAACGGTCTAAAAATAATAGGACAGAATAATAATCTTAAATCAAACTTTCACTTTTTAATACTTAGTTGCCAATCCTGAAGTCTGGTACACATAGATAAGTACTAGACTCTGGGTTTCATCTCTGGTGATGCTCTGCCAGGCCCCTACAGCAATTGTTATCAGTTCCTGCTTATTCTTGGTGCATTTTCCCTTCAGTTTTGTCTTCAGCAAGTGAAATGCATGCTTAATCGCATTCAGTTCAGGTGATGGACTTGGCCATTGCATAACATTCCACTTCTTTCTCTTCAAAAACTCTTTGGTTGCTTAATATAAACAGAAAATATTGACTGAAACACTTCAAAATTCACCCTGCTGCTTTCATCAGCATTCATATCATCAATAAATACAAGAGATATATATAAGGTACTGTATATATAAGGGAGATAAATACAAGGTCCATTTACAGCCATACATGCCCATGCCATGTCACTACTACCACCATTCTTCACTGCTTAGGATCATGAGCAGTTTCTTTCCTTCTCCATACTCTTCTCTTCCCATCACTCTGTACCAATGTTGATCTTGATCTCATCTGTCCATAGGTTTACCAATGGTTTACATCTTGTGGTGATTCTCAAAAACAGGAAGGCCAGAATAGAGTTCTAAAAAGCCTTCACTCTGGTGTAGTCTTCTCTTGATAGTTGACTCTGACACACATACACATACCTCCCAGAGAGTGTTCTTGATCTGGTCAACTGTTATGAAGGGTGTTTTCTTTACCAGGGAAAGAATTCTTTCCACTGCAGTTGTTTTCGTGGTCTTCCGGTTCTTTTGGTGTAGCTGAGCTCACTGGTGCGCTCTTTCTTTTTTAAGAATGTTCAAAGCAGTTGTTTTGGCCACATCTAATGCTTTTGCTAGCTTTCTGATGGGTTTTTTTTTTTTTTTTAGCCTAATGATGGCTTGCTTGCAACCCAGACTCATTCTGAAAACATAGTCCCTTGGACATTTTTGGAGATCGCGAAATACGTCCTGAGGTAAACATATTCCTGTGTGCGCTTTTTCATATCTCAAATTTCTCTTGTGAGTGCCATTCGCGCACTATGTTCTAGCATAAACTCACCAGAGGCCGCTGTCGACTGATTTTCTGTCTGACTGACTGCCTGTCTGATTGACGGAATGACTTAATGGCTGGCAGACCAATCCAGTCAACTGGCCCACCCTCCTTCTTCCCTAAACCCAACCAATTTTATCGATTGACCCAGCTACCCAATTACTTCCCTAAACCCAACCGACGGTTTACAAAAGGCGTCCAGAAAAAGAAAAGCCCTCATTTGATTATCCCCACATTTTTAGATTTTACCACATTCTCACCAGTTATTCACTTGTTCTTTTTTATTTTTTGGATTCTGTTTTTGTCTTACCTGATTTGTGGAACCGCTCTTCCCTGGACTCGAACCCCATCGTCGTCGTCATTGTAGTCAACTTCTCTTTGCGTCTCAAGTCTGCCAATGTACACAACGAGCTAACTAGACAAAACTGGTTGCAACGGGAAAGCCCTACACACGGAGGTAAGCAGTCAGCTGGTTAGCGCGAAAAGGAACGCCGTCATACCGCCCTGTAGCATTCCCTTAAAAAAATTAATTGCAGCCAGCCATACACACCTGTGGCAGCATAGTCTCCAGAAACGTTCACAGGACTACGTTTTCAGAATGAGCCTGTGTTGCTTGCTTGAATGATAGCGACAGCTCTTTTCATCTCATCTTGAGAGTTGACAGTAACAGATTCCATATGCAAATAGAACACTTGAAATAAACTCTGGACCTTTTATCTGCTCATTGTAATTGGGATAATGAGGGGAATAACACACACCTGACCATAGAACGGCTGAGAAGCCAATTATCCGATTACTTTTGGACCCTTTACAAGAGGGATGCACATATGTAAACTGTTGTAATTCCTACAGCGCTCGCCAGGATGTAAACACACTCAAACTAAAGCTGACAGTCTTCAGCTAAAGCACATCTTGTTTGTTTTGTTTTAACTCGATAGTGTTGGTGTATAGAGCCAAAAATCTTAGACTTGTGTCAATATCCAAATAAATATGGACGTAACTGTATGTAATATGATTAATGTGTTTTACTACATTTCAATGACTGTGTATGACTGCCTGTCTCTGTTTGCTTGTTAACATGAAGATGTAGATATAAGCTCTGAAGCAAAAAAAGAAAGTAATGGCTTACTGTCTTGCATGAAAAAGTTTCACAGCAAATAATAACAAGTATACCACAGCTTTTATACTCTAGGATGGGTACACTGAATCACAAAACATTTTTGAGTGTGAGATAAGTTAAGTGTGAATGAATATTAAAATATGCTACATATGTGCGAACGAGCATTGAAATATGCTCATATGCAAATAAGCATTGAAACAGACCCATGAATGCATTCTCTGTAAATATGTTTCCGTTTTCCCTTCCCCTTTGTGCTTAGAGAAGATATTTAAAGAAAAGAAGACCATCTAAAATCCACTCCTATAAACAGAAATCAGCTCACCCTGGTGTGATGTCAGTGAAACAGTACTATATATTTACTGGCATAACAAGAATTACTGCAGCAGGGTATCGACACACAAACATACATGATGTAGTTTATAGGGTTAGAAAAAGAGAGACTAGTGATGTTTGTCTGTAAGAGACTAGCCATGACAAAAAAAAATTGCCCGTTGGACAAAAAATAATTCGTAAATCTACATTTTTAAGATTTAAAAGCACTGTGATGATGAAAATGAGCCACAATAAAGTAAATATCCGGCAAACAAATGAACAAAAAATAAAATACCAATGTTAATACACATTTACTGGTCTAAAAGTGCACCCTGTTTGAATCTGTAACTTTTTTCTTCTTGGTTATTTTTTCATCTTTCGTGTTTAACACAGGATGTGCAACGCTCGCTGATTATGTAATTAGCGTGACACTGCAAGTCTCATACTTGCGGGCGCATGGTGAAATAGATGCTTACAAGTTGTAAAGCATCTGCCAGACTGACATTTATAAACCACAACAGTTACATAACATTGCACTCTGCAGTCAATTTATCGCAGTGCCCCAAGACAGATTTTCACAGAAATCGGTTTGATTTGATGAAGAGTTTTATTGAAAAAAATTATGAAAAGTGAAATAGACATCTGTGAAGACTGGTATATTTATCTGTGCAGGATTATACAAATATATTTGCTTGTGTAAAAAAAAAAAATGTTAATGCTATTTTTGAAATGCTAGTGTGTTTTTGCAGTGCTTTAAAGGCATAATGTTATAAGGCATTCATCGTGTATCTGCTAAATTATGCTGCTCGCAGTTTTTCTTTCTTCAGATTAGCGACTTCCCACCACTCTCCTGGATTCATACATTCTGTGGGCACACATGTAGAATATGCCTGCAAAAGACACATTTCAAACTGTAAACATTCAATATTCAGTCATTTTCCTTTGACTTTTATTCATCAAGGGTCGCCACAGCGGAATGAACCGCCAAGCATTCAATATATGTAGTTGTTTTTTGTTTTTTAAAGTACAACCTAAAAATGAAACAAATGCATTGAATAATAAACTACCATATTTACTACAATTAATAAAGAGAGCTCCTCATCATTGGGATTTATTATTCCAAATATTCCAACAAGGATTATATGATGTTCACTTATGGTACATATTTAAATGGTAAAACCCAAAAAGTTAAGGTAACTCAATCCCTTTGAGGAGACCAATTGCAACAAACCATTCAAGTTCAAAAACTAATCCAAATGAGTACTGTTAACTTAACCTATTTGAGTAAAAGAAGCAATTTGAGCACAGTAAAACCTGATAAAGGGAACTCAAACCAACTGAGTACTGTAAAACCCAATAAGTTAAAGCAACTCAAACCATTTGAGGAAACCGATTGCAACAAACCATTTGAGTTATAAAAAATGAATCTATTACTTCAACTTACTCCATTTAAGTTGAAGTAATGAGGTATTTAATAAACTCATCTTCAACACTGAGTTCAAAACTCTTTTCAAATGAGTAGAATTAACTTTCAGTAAATTTTGAGTTAACTACACTCATTAAATTTGATAAAGTTGACTGTTGGGTTTTACAGTATATAGTAATGACAACAACTCAAATTATAATGACTGATGAATGTCTAACATCATACACTCTCAGAAATAAAAGTATGAGAGCTGTCACTGGGGTGGTACCTTTTTTAAATGGTACACAATTGTATTTCAAGGGTCCATATTGGTACCTCAAAACTATATATTAGTTCCTACAAATTTTAAGAGGAACACTTTTGTACTTTTTAGGTACTAATGTGTACTCTTGAGGTATTAATATAAACCTTTTAGGTGCTCCAATGACATATATTTCTGAGAGTGTTTTAACAAAACAAACCCCCTATTTTACTGATGTAAACGTCTCTGATTGGCTATTGTGTTCATAAGATTAGAAATGAGTGAGATTGGCTCTAAAAAAAGAAGAAATAGCAAGAAATAGCATGCATCATGCACCACATTTGACAATTGCATCAACAGCAGCATGACAAGTGTGAATACCACCAAATTTAGATAGAAAAATGTGCACATATTCACACATGTTGCAGTATACTAAAACAAGAAATATGATGCAACATGCTTGTCTAAAATTAATGCACATAATTCACACTTTTCATTCACTGTAACATTTCACTTTATTCATGATAGCCATAATAGATTTGGCTTAATCATGCAGCGGGATTTTTTTTCTTTGCACACCTATATTTGTATTGTTAGTAAGTGTAAAAGTGAACATGTGAGAGTGTAATTTAAGATAGGTCTTGCACACACTTCCCTGTTTCACTTTTGTGACAAAATAATATCATGAAGTCCATCGAAGTCATTTCAACCACATCCTAAGACACTCTATAGTCAGCACTAAAAGTCAAAGCTCTTAACACCCCGTATAAACTTTCCTTTGTTCTGAAATTTGAAGAACATCTTCAATGGGTCAATATTTTCGGTCACACTATTTTGATGGTCCAATTGTTGAATTTAAGTTACATTGCAGCTACATGCCAAGTCATTCTCATTAGATTAACAGTAGACTGTTAGGTTAGTGTTAGTGTGTACTTGCAAAGTTTCTTATAGTAAATTAAATGTCTGTTGAAGGAGAGGTATCAACAGAAATTAAGCAGACAGCCCACTAATACTCAAATGGACCATCAAAATTAAGTGTTCCCATATATTCCCGTAAAATAACTGTCTAAGTGTGTCACCTGCAAAGAAGGTCATGAGCATAGCCACCCATCCCAGTATGTAGGACCAGGAGAAGCGCCAGTCTCCGAATCGCTTGCCCAGGAAGCTTAAGGTTACTCCGGTGTAGATCGCCATGGCCAGAAGCACGAAGAAAGCTGTGTGTGAGCAAAACCATTGATTAAATATATAAACTGAAGAGAGTAGGAGCATCAATATCTGATTTTTGGCTATTATTGCATCAGATTCTCTTTCTATGACTCATTGTGCTTGTGTTTGTGACTTACTGGAGATGAAGAACATGATTCCCGCAGCGAAGGAACGACTGAATCTCTCAAAGGCAGAGAAGTGAGCAAACGAGAGGATGCCTGCCATGATGCCCGCAAAACACGCCATTCCTGATAAGATCATGAACGCACGTGTGGCATTCCAGTATGCTGGGGACAGAAACAAAAAATGATCACAAAACAGCAGTGAAGACTCTTGACACTGTTTGTCTGTTTTTTTTTCTTTCTTTTTTTTTTACATTTAAGGCCAGATTTACTTACAGCTTTTATCAGTACAAACCTCTAAAAAATAAAAAATATATATAGGCCTACTGTATTTTGTTGTTGTTGTTTGTGTTGTTTTGACTGACCAGAAGGATTTTTGTATTTTTTGGGAGGAGAGATTTTAATAATAAATCATGCAATATACGTTTTGCAATCTACTGGTCAACAAATATCTGAAATGTTTTTTACTGTGGTACACAAGTCTTAACCTATTTTATGGCAGACATTTATGGAAAAAAACAAGGTGATATTTTGAAATACTGTACTTAGTTTTGGTTTGTCTGTCAAGACATTCCATGGTATATTATTCCCAGATAACATCCGCTGAAACTAATAACACAAGCTCATTGGGGTAATACGAATTATCTTGAGCATTAATCAGTATATTCACATGCGTAATTATTTATCTGCTAGTCAGCTGTTCGTGTTTGGCGCCATCTTGTGACTGAATAACATGCAGGTTAGAGTAGATTGCATTTAGACGATTTTCGTTTTGCAAGTTTAACTTTTTAATGAACAAGTTAGTGAAGTACTGTAGCTCAGCGATGTTTTGTGTCTAATTGATTACTTTTGTGGTAAGTAACTGTGGAATAATCCAGCCTGCTCTCACGACAAAACGTAAGTATTTTACGCTAATTTATAAAAATTTGTACAAATCGTACGAAAATGAACGATTTTAAACCCCTAAACCTAAACATCTTTATGGAATAAGCAAATCGTACTAAATTGAATGAATGAGATATTACAGATTTATATGAATTAGCTACTAAATCAAAAAGTTCAGAATTGCCATGAGTTCAAGAGTTCACACTTAGCTGATAATTGATTATAAAGCTTGTTTGGCATGCTGTTCCAGGAGAGAGCCCTGAGCTCAAGATCCTCGAGCCTGGGGCTCCCTACCATTTGCAAGGCAAGAGGGGAGTTTGAGCTTAGGTAGATCTCGAGAACTCCCCCGCTGTAGTAGCTATTGAACAGATAGTGATTGCTCTTAAGAGATAACTACTTACTAGGTGCATGTATAGTGCCTATATGGATTAGTCAATTAACTTAAGTTATTATTATTATTATATTATAGAAACCCATGTGAGCACGGGGAGAATGTGTAAACTTCACACAGAAACATCGGCTGGCTTAGTAAGGACTAGAACCAGTGTTGTTCTTGCTGTGAGGCAACAGTGCTAAACACTGGGCAACCATGCCACCCATCTAGGAAAGGAGGAGGAGTAGGGGTGGAAGGGGGGATTCTTCAAAACGAAGAGGGCTGTTGTATGGAACCTAGGGTATTTATAATGGCTTAGTAATCGTTTGATCTGCGAACCATAAATTGAATAATGCGGGACCGGCTGCAAACAATCTTAAGCACGTCATCCTCTTGAAATTAGTTTATAAATAAACTTCACATTGTGTTGAGTAAGCGGGATTATGTACATTTAGGCGTTTTAGGCCGTACAAAAAAAAACAAAAACGCTTTTTGCCGAACTACTGATAAACCTTTTGAGCTTTAGTCAGTGAGACAAACCGCCTAGATGTTAAATATCCTTTGCAGATCGATATCTAAGCCACATTTTTTGTAATCTTGGTTTATTGGTCGTAGATGTGCCACATCATCCGCCATCTTGAAACAGTCAACTATCACAATAAAATAGATTTTTTTAAAGATGCCACAACGCTGCTCAGCACAACTTCTGGTTATAAAAACTAATGAGATACAGTATAAATTTTGAGAATTTATAAACTTTACAATAATTCATTGAAATAAAAATGAACAAATCATCACCTCTCTCGTATGGTTTCTGAGATTGTTTCTAAAGAGCAGCTGAAAACTAGGGATGGCCTAGATACCTTTTTTTCTCATTCAAAACAATATGGATACATTTTGCTACAATTTTACTTCACAATAATGTACATGACCCTTATTGGCATATATTGTAATAATGTACAGGTATGTGTTTGTATGAATTAGCCACTGATTCACCAAGCCAGTGTACTGTAGCTAATAAAGTTTTAATGGATGATCACATTAAAAAAATACTAAAGTAATTTCAGAGTAATTACTATATTGTTTTTGTACAATACTATATTAAAGTGTATTATACTGTATGTAATAGTAATGTCAATATGCTGGAAAAGGAAGTGTATGTTGGAGAACATTGTGAAGACGAGTGGTTTTTAAGTGGGCATTAGACGCTCTAAACATAGACTGATAATGGCTTTTTCACAGGAAGTATTTATTCATGATGTCAACCCAAACATAATTTTCACACATTTAGATTTAATATTTTGTTTGCTAGTTTTTTTTTTTCATATTTTTTTGTGTGTTTTGTAATTCCTAAGGATTTATAGCAATATGCAATGCCTTTCCATTCTTGTAGAACTCATATTTCATAGTTATTGTATAACTAAGCAAAGGAGATGGCTTTTTTTAAATTTATGTAGTTTTTAAAAATAACAAAGCAGAGGTGAAAAGTTAATTAATCTAGAACAAAAATGTTTTTGTAAATGAAAAAGGTTTTGAAGGGGGTGGATGGGGGCTTTGTTTTAATTTTTTTTTTTTTTTTATATCTGTTTAGAACAGGCCAATTTGCAGCACATTGAGCATTTATGTCCCAAAAATCCACAAGAATTTTAGTATGACCAAAACAACATTACAGATGTAGCACGCTGGTTTGCCTATAATGCCATTCAATCATGTCCAATTTAGTTATCACATGATCTGTTAAAACTAAATCACATGACTAAAGTTGTTTTTACTGGGGTATTGTTTTTGGAGGGGTGCACAAAAGTGTTCTTTGAGCATCACAGAGAATGTTTTTACATTGTCTTTTGCTTGTTCTGGACTTTGAACATCTCAGGAACGTTGCTGTCTATGGAGGATGAGGGAGCTCTCTGATTTCATCTAGAAAATCTTAACTTGTGTATTTGAGATGAATGAAGATCTCCGAGGATTGGAACGACATGGGGGTGAGAATTTAATAGCTTAAACTCGTTTTAAGGTGAACTAATTCTTTAAAACAACTTGAAATTTGGTAATGAATTAAATAAATATCTAAGTGTGCTCTGGCTGAATGCGAGTTGCAGAACTGCAAGCTTCTCTGAATTTTGCACCATTTCTTTGATTTTGATTTTGATAATCAACAGTAAAAACTACAATGTGTACTTCTTCCCAACAGGGAAAACCACAAATAATCAAAAATGCATGATTATATGGTGTAATGGTTTTGCAATAAAAACATGCGGTTATAATGGAATACAATGGGGCAAAAATAGCTATGAACAGTAAATTAGAGAGAAAAAAATGAAAATCATTGCACCATTTGCATGAATTATTATTATTATTATTTTTTTACTTTATGCATGTTTTGCTAGTTCCATTTAATAGTTGATAATTGTGCAAAAAAAATAGGTGAATGGTAACATAGCTATTGTCAAACAACGTTGTTTTTACTGGGTATTTATTGGGTGCAAAAAGTGTTCTTGAAGCTTCACATGGAATGCTTTGTCAATGTCTTTTTGCCTGTTCTGGACTAGGAGGATGAGGGAGCTCTCTGATTTAATCTGAAATATCTTAACTTGTGTTCTGGAGATGAATGAAAGTCTCAGGGGATTGGAACGAAATAAGGGTGAATAATTGATAACAGAATTTTCATTTTCAGATTAACTAATTCTTTAAAACACCTTGAAATTCTGTGATCATACCTACTTTGTCAGGGTTCTGCCACTCTGGTCTTGTAAATTCTTGCTTGGTGGCAGAGCTCGGACACTACCCATGTCTGGTCCTGTTTCTGTCTCTGTGTGCGCACGCGCCGTCGTGGGTGTACGCAGAGTGTGCGCGCTCCTGCTTGATGCGGCCGCGCGCACGCTCTGCGTTCCTCAGACGCGTGCGCTCTTGTACTCGTGTTTGTGTTTTCGTCTGTCAGCAGCGTGGTGTTTCATTCCCAGCGTCTCAGTCTTGTTGGTTTCGGTTTTGGTCGGTGCTGGGATGAAGCATGCACGCTGCGTGTGTGAGCGCACAGTGAGTGTTTTCATTCATCATGTGCTTGTGTCTTGCGTCTCTTGTCAAAGCACGTGGCTTGGTGTTAACATTGTGGTCACGTGCTTTTGTTGTGTGCTTCAGTGTTGTGTTTGTCTTGTCATGAACATGCGGTTAATGAGTTCTCTCATTGGCCGCATGTTCTTGTCCTGTGTTATGTGAGCGCATGGCTTGTGTTAGGTGCGTTCGACTTCATGCAGCGCTGCGCAGATCGATCGAAATCTGTCTTAAAGCGGTGCATGCTCGTTAGAAATATTGTCCGGATTGATGCTGAGCCGACGCCACGTGACTGTCACATGTGGCATCAAAGTACCGCGACAGCGCTCCGAGATCAGATGGCAAACTCAGACCGTGCAGCTTCTGAAGAGCGACTGCAGGAGCTCTGATGACGACACCAATATTACACGATTGGCCGAGTTCACCACATGACAACAAACACGTGTATTTCTGGTTTATAATTGGACAAATTCCGATTCAAAAGTTTCAAAACAAACAATTCACTTTTCACACCCTCTCTATCCTGTACACATCTTGCTTATTAAAAGGCTACAAATATTTTACTGCAGTAATCATCTTTTGTTAAATAATCTGGTTAAAAAGGTTAGCTTGTTTGCACAGGTTTATTTTTAACTTTTTTCTACAGACTATTTACTGCATTCATCTCCATGAACGATTTAAATGATATATTTTAGTGTATATTTTAGTGAATAACCTAAATATGAACTCAAATAAGTCTTACAGACTTGAAATAAAATAATCATCATCATTTATCCTGCCACCTTAAAGCTCTCTTAACAAATTAAGTTAAAGAACTATTTTATTAAATAATTATAAAATGGTTTTATTATTATAATATAAATATATATTTTATGTCCTGTCTAGCAGTTTAAAGGCTACCTGCTCTTTCTGGGAAACTTCTACATAGCTCACTTATTTTACCTTTTGTTCTTTTCAATACAATCTTTTTGGATTAAAATGCTTTTTTTTAAATGCTTTCAATATCCAAAATAATCTCATTTATTAAGACCTAATCAAAACACCTTGTTTTGCTTTTTACATTGGAAATTTTTATAGCCTGTCTATAAATGTACATATATGTAAACCCTTTTTTAGCATATTCAAATAAGAAGTATTAGCCTAGAGATTGATGTTTAACTCCAAGAATTTGTGCTTATTGCTTTATTTTATAGACCTGTTCATTTTTATGTTTATATTAACCTCTCATTTCCTCTTATTTCTCTTATGCATTTGTTCTATATTTTATTCATAATTCTCCCTTGTTGTTTAAAAAGGAACTATAGAGACTGTATTCTGTTTTATTTGTAAATGTTTTGTTGTTATAAATAAAATTAACTAAAAAATTATGATGACGCCATGTGATCGGTCATCATGACTGCAGCAACTTTGAGTCCCGAAGTGTCCAGCTGTCCGTCTTGACGCCTCCGTTTTCAACTCCGCCCCCGCCTGCGCTCTCGTTGATCACCGGCTGCAGCTGAGCTTCTTGTCGAACGCACCTATTGTCTCTCTGTGTCATGCGCTCTCCCGTCTTTTGTCTAGTCCCACCCTCCTTGTTAACTCCTTATCAGTTTGTCATGTTCACCTGTTTGTGTCAATTTACTTTTTGCTTTAAAATCCCCTCATGTTTTGAGTCCTGTGCCAGTTCGTTGTCTACACTCCCTCTGTGTTCCTGCTCCAGTCTTGTCTTGTCAGCCCAGCCAAGTTTGTGTGTTTTGTTAATGTTTTCCCCCTCGGGGTAGTTTTGTTTTGCCTTTTATTTTTATTTTATTATTAATAAATACCCATTATTTCTTTGCACTTGAGTCTTCGCTCCTTTTTCCCCTCACCGACCGTGACATACTTAAGGTGGGCTCTGGCTGAATGCGAGTTGCGAAACTGCAAGTTTACATAGCTATTTTCAAACAAAGTTGTTTTTACTGAGGTATTTTGGTGCACAAAAATGTTCTTGGAGCATCACAAAGAACGTTTTGACAATGTCTTTTGCCTGTTCTGGACTTTGAACATCTCAGGAACGTTGCTGTCTATGGAGGATGAGGGAGCTCTTTAAATTTCATCTAAAATATCGTAATTTGTGTTTTGAAGATGAATAAAGGTCTCAGGGGTTGGAACAACTTGAGGGTGAGCACTAATAACAAAACTTTAATTTTCAGATGAACTAATTCTTTAAAACACTTTGAAATTCTGTGATCAATTAAATACATATCTACTTTAAGTGGGCTCTTGCTGAATGTGAGAAGCTTGCAGTTATGTATATATATATATATATATATATATATATATATATATATATATATATATTTACATACATAATTACCATCTTACTCTACTTGCATATTTTACACATCATTTAGTAAATCTGGCCATTAATTTAAAAAAAAAAAAAAAAACAGTCCCTGCAGATTCACCTTGAACGAACCACAGTACAGCTCCTGTAATCTCAGATGCCATCTTATGAGACAAGGGGTACTTTGAAGCACCTGTTCAGAATACGACTGTGCAAGGCTCAGACAGCACAAACCAATGCATAGAGCTCTTTAAAAACAACAAACCACTGCCATCTATAGGCAACAAATGGTCTAAACGCTCAAATGCAGGTGCCGGTTATTTTAATAATGTTGTCAGTGGCACTAAATCTGACTTTAAATTGAACACTGATTTAAAATAAATTTACTTACCTATGCTTGCTGTCTGCATGTAACACTTGTTGGCCATGCAGTACCTCCACAGGCCCTGGTGGGCATAGCTGCCTGACAGGCGATATTGCATCCAGTAGTCTGTCGCCGTGGAGACCACTATGAGGATGTTGCCCACAATGGCACAGAACAGACCGCCGCCCATAAAGCTGTACATCCTGACACACGCTGAGACTTTGCAGCAAGGAAATATACACTAAACACATAAGAGAAATTAGATGTATTGTATGGCACGCTGTACATGTTTTCATACATGGCAAAATAATTATATTTCAAGTTTACGATCAATATTATTAGGTAATTGTTCTTTTATTTTTATGTTATATATATATTTTTTCTTTTTTAGAAATTCTAAATACATTTTGTATTTTCAATTTTTTGATTTTAATAATTTATTTTCGTTTCTTTTTATCTCTATTGTGGCAATTGTCGTTATTGTTACTGTTTAATGTTGAAAATGACTTTACAATGCATTAAAATGCATTAAAAAAGAATAGATTTCACAAAGAAATGATAAGCAACACATTGAATTGAAACTAGAATTTTGAAGTAGAAAAGTTGGTTATAATTTTTAATCTACATCTTGTACTTTTTTGTACTTTTTGTGTTTTACTTACAACCTCTAAATAAAAAAATGCATAAAGAAATGCACTGCTAAATAAAAAAGGCTAAATATTAGTATACACTTTACATTATTTTTTTCCAAATTCAGTTTGTTTACCATTATTGAACATTACTATTAATACATCAAAGATATTCAATTTAACCCTTATGTGCTGCTGGGGATGTTTTTCATCCACTCTAGGGTAATTTTGAATCTTAAAAACCTTCAACAATAGACTCTGGGCAAATATACTACCATTTGTTATGTTAGGGATGAAAACATCCACTAAACTAAACTGCTGTAAAAATGCATCAGATAAATAAATATATTTTTTGCATAAATCTGTTAATCAGTCTCAGCCCTGATCAAAACTTCTAAATTGCTTAGAAAATTACAAGATTTTAACTATTTAATTGCCAACTTCATAAATGATGTCACTGATTTGGTAAAAAAAAACACACACACAAAATTACATATTTTCAAAATAAAAAACAATTGTGGACTTGATTTTTTTTCTTACCTTTTTTCCCGGTCTTGGACATGTGAAACAACGCTGCCTTTGATGCAATGTTTTTTATTGATTTTCATTTTTCCTCTCTAATTGACTATCGGTTTCTGTTTTTACCCAATTGACTTCCGTTATGGCCACATTTTTTTGATTACAAAACCATCACACCATATAACCGAGCATTTTTGATTGTTGGTGGTTTACCCTATTGGTAAGAGGTACAATTTGTAGTTTTTAATGTTGATCATCAGTTGGCACCATTAAGCCTTTAAATAGGCCTGTGCAAAAAAAAAAAAAAAAAGAAAAAAAAGTGTAACAGAACTTTGGAGTGTAACAGAAAATAAAGTATGTGTCTGTGAGGAGAAAATCTAAATATGCATCTCAGCTCTCTGAACTACATGAAGTAACTAAAAACAAAAACTGAGCATTTATGCTCCACCAAATGTGGTTATAATGGAAGTCAATAGGGCAAAAACAGCCACCAACAGTAAATCAGGGAGAAAAAATGAGAATATAACAATGCATCAAAGTTGTTACTAATCCCTCACGTGTCCAAGACTGTGATAAAAGATTTTAAAAAAAAGAGTCCAGCCTACAATTACTTTTTATATTGAAAGTATGTCATTTTGTGTGTTTTTTCACCAAAACAATGATATCATTTGTGAATATGGCTATAAACGAGTTAAAATCCTGTAATTAAAAAAAAAAAAAAAAAGATAGTAGTTTTGATCAGGACTGAGGTTGATTAACAGATTTATGCAAAAACATTCGAAAAAAAATTATTTATCTGATGCTTTTTTACAGCAGCTTAATTCAGTGGATGTTTTCATCCCTAACATAACAAAAGCGTAATTAATTTGACCGTGCACAGGGATTAAAATTGTATATATATATATATATATATATATATATATATATATATATATATATATATATATATATATATATATATATATATATATAATTTTGTATTATTTATTGAAGATATTTCCTTGTCTGGGCCAATGGCATAGTGGTTAGTGCTTTGACACATGGCGACACGAGTTTGATTTCCTCCTCGAGGTGCTGATCCTTCCCCTCTCTATCTGCCACCATGCTTATGCTCTCTGCTGTTCTATCAATTAAAGGTAAAAACCCTAAAATAATACCAATTACAAAAGATATAAATTTCCTTGTATCCGATACATATTATCTGTTTTGTTATTATTTTTCTTTGTACAAGAAGCCTAAAAACACACTGTAAAAAGTAAAAAAATACAAAATTATTATCTTACATGACCTTATTTCCTGTATAATTACAATAGTCAGGATCTATATACATGAATAGCAAAGTTACATTCAAATGTTTTCTAATAAGTTATTAAATTTCAGTGAACTTGTGCTTAACACAAGACAGAATATGTATCAAAAGTGTAAGAAAACACATTTGTTTGTTTTTTCACAACAGTAAGAAAAGAAATATGTATGAATTCATATTGTGGAGTTACATTTTCTTTTTAACGAAACAAGATTCAAAAGCTAACAATAATCCTTATGATTTTCAAGTAAAATGTGTTTTAATTTAAAATAGTTTCGAGATTTGTACAGGAAAACACTACAAATACTCAAAGTTGCAAAATTTCCAGTGGATTTTTACTTGTCAAAACTGAGAAATCTCCTAAAAACTGAGACATCTAAACTATAAAATATAGAGTAAACATTTCTGTAATACGCATGCTTATCATCAAATAACTGCCAACTTTATTCTGCATTGGTGGATTAAATCGAATATATTAATAAATAAAGGAAACATACATAAAGTCATACAAGTTTTTAGGCTCACCTTGTTGCTTCTGAGGCAAATCCCTCTTTGCTTATCCTCTGGGGAAAGAGGGAGTGAGAGGGCAGAGAGAGAGGTTAAGAGGCAAAAGAGAAATGGACTGTTGGCCTTTTTTGTTGATGGTGGCAAAATCCTTTAAATGCCAGCTCCTCTGTCCCCGAAACAAATACACTTGAACTGGTTGGAGCAGGGGCCCTGGTGTGTGTCTGACTTTTCGCTGTGTGTATGCATGATGTCAATGGTCCTCCTTTTGTTTAAAGAGTAGACTGTTCTGTAGCCGCACTTATTCAAAGGATTGCTGTGGTGCATCGGTCAATGCAAAACGCTGAGTTGCGTACTTGCTTTGACAGGGGCCATAGTGTGGCTACTCATGCATACCTATAGTTTAACATCCAATAAACTCAATGTTTCCCTTTACTCAATTACAGAATTTCTTTTTAAAATACCCTACATGTCTTTAAAAAATGCGGTAACACTTTACAATAAGGTTCATTAGTTAATGCATTTACTAACATGAACTAATCATGAACAACACTTGTACAGCATTTATTAATCATAATTGAACATTTACTAATGCATTATTAACATCCAAGTCCATGCTTGTTAACATTAGTTAATGCACCATGAGTTAACATGAACTAACAATGAACTACTGTATTTTCATTAACTAACATTTACTCACATGAATAAATACAGTAGTAAATGTGTTGTTCATTGTTTGTTCATGTTAGTCAATGCATTTATTAACATTAACTAATGAACCTTATTTTAAAGTGTGACCAAAATGCTAAGGATCATTTAATGTTTCATAAGCTCACCAAGGCTAATTATCAAATCAAAAATAGAGTAAAAACTGTGAAATATTATGTTATGAATATAAATGTTGTCTTATTCAATGTTCACTGTAAAACCAAACAGTCAACTGTACCAAATGAAATGAGTGTAGTTAATTTAAACTTTTCTGAAAGTTAATTCTACTTAATTGAAAAGAGTTTTAAACTCTTTTAATTACATACCTCATTACTTTAACTTAAATGAAGTTTACAGAACCCAAACAGATTTGTTTTTTTAACTCAAATGGTTTGTAGCAATCGGTTTCCTCAAATGGTTTGAGTTGCCTTAACATACTGGATTTTACAGTACTCAGTTGGTTTGAGTTCTCTTCATTTATTGGGTTTTAAATTTGATTCCTGTGATGTAAAAATGAATTGTCAGCATTGTTCATCACAGGTCTTCAGTGTTATGTGATACTTATATATCAAAAAACATTTATTATTATTATTATTATTATTATTATTATTATTATTATTATTATTATTATTATTGTTGTTATTATTATCAGAGTGTTGAGCTGCTTCATATGCTTGTGAAAACTGTAGCATTCAAAATGTGTTATTCGTTAATATTTTGTTCTAGAGTTTAAAAAATTTTTAAAAATTTTTAAAAAGTAATTTGTCACAGCTTTCTCAAAACTATTAAGCAGGAAAAAAATATTTATTCTAAAAAATTTATTCTAAAAAAGAATTATATATATTAAATTATATATATTAAAATATATATATATTAATATTTCCCAGAAATGGGTTGCTGCGGCTGGAAGGGCATCCGCTGCATAAAAATATGCTGGATAAGTTGGCGGTTTATTCCGCTGTGGCGACCCCAGATTAATAAAGGGACTAAGCCCAAAAAAAAATGAATGAATGAAAATATTAATACTGAGTATCAATAATAAGTGACCAAGACTGAACAGAAAATAAGCATATTAGAATCACTTCTGAATGATAATGTGACCCTGAAGACTAGAGTAAATTGGTTTTATTAGTTAATACAGTGTTTACAGTATTTTTTATTAAATAAGTACTATTAATTGGCATAAAAAGCTTTTAAAACAATGTTTTAAAACATCTTATCACAAACATTTAAAGCATTGAGAATTAAAGAGACAGTTCCAAATTATTCATTTTCTTTTCGGCTTTGTCCCTTTATTAATTTGGGGTCACCACAGCGGAATGAACCACCAACTTATCCTGCATGTTTTAGGCAGCAGATGCCCTTCCAGCCACAACCCGTTACTGGGAAACATTCACACTCTTTCACACACACGATGGTCAATTTTAGCTAACCAAATTCACCTGTACCACATGTCTTTGGGCTGTGAGGAAAACCAGAGCACCCGAACTAGGGCTCGAACTAGCGACCTTCTTGCTGTGAGGTGAACGTGCTACCATTGTTTTGATGTTTGTTATGTGCAATCAAGGCAACCTTAAAAATGAATTCCTCGTACAGATATAATGAAAGTTAAAAAAATTCAACCTCAACATCCAATATCCATTTACTATATCCAATAATGCACATTTTGACTTTTAGGGTCACTAAGAGTGATGAAGTCCTTAAACACAAACACACACACACACACACACACACACAAACATATATATATATATATATTATATACATATATACATATTATATACATATATACATATATATATATATATATACATATATATATATATATATATATATATATATATATATATATATATATATATATATATATATATATATATATATTTGTGACCAATTTTGGTGCACACGTCAAAATAAATAAATCAAAGTGAGTCTATATAAAAAGGTCTAACATGTCGAAATATGCAAGAAAGAATGTTCCGTCATCATTTGTGGAGCTGCATGTATAACAGATATACTGTATTATAATGTGGTCAAACTAAATGTTATACTTAAAAATGTATTATATTATTTATTATGTAAAAATGTGTGATATTTAGAAATTAGTTTTATTTTATTAACAAAAAATGGTTCAAAGGAAAATTATATAAAAGATTTTGCTCACATACGCAAATTGATCTCAATGAGGAAAAATACTATTTGTGATGCTTTTCCTGCTTAAAAATTGAAACAATTTTAATACAAATGTTTATTTTCTTTTTTTTTCTCTCTTTTGTTTGCTGCCTCAAACACTGCCACAATGAAACAAACTAATGCAGAACATTAATATTGATTGAAGGCATAATTGTCTTTACAGTTGAACAAAAAGCCTCATTTTGACTTTTCATATTGAATAAAAAGTAACATTTTATATCTTGCGGTTGCTGCAGGGAACATTGTGGCAGAGTGGAACACGCGTAAAACCAAACCATTGCAGTTATCATATCTTAACATAAGAAGTGTCAGTATAATGTACTGAATGCTGAGACCAGCAAAACATGCTTAGGGGTCCCTAGTAGAGATGTGCTGAGCTAAACCAGTTCAGTTTTGCGTGAGAACAGCATAACTGGTCCACCAGCTCTAACCAGCATATTAACCAGGATTTCACATTGGTTAATGCTGTATGTTCACTCTCGGCTGTATCTTTAGAGCAACCAAGCCGTAACAATTGTCAGATCAAACATGTGAAAGACCACTTAATATATGCTGATAGTATCTGAATTACTATTCTTTGAAAATGGAGTATTAAAGCCTACAAAAATCAAACTAAATTTACATAATTCTAACACTTTTTCCTTATAAATACAATACACTTACAAACGAAAATTGTTTCATTAAAGAAAATATGGAGTTATGTGACATGATGTACTCTCAATACAATTATTGTTTGACCACAATCATCATGATAAAAGATGTGTATTAGGCGGACAAAAAGACTAATGGGTTTTATAATAGTGGCATAAAAGATTTTGCTTAACACACTTTTTTTGTTGTATTGTTTTGTCAATAGCTGTAAAAGTATTAAAAGACAATTAATCATCAGTTTAAAGTGTTGGGTGTGTAAAATATGAGAATGGATAACATTAACAACTTTCTCACAAGTCCTCTTAATTCTCAGAAGTGAAGATGGAGTTAATAGTGAGAGGACATGCTGGAACAACAGTTGATTGTTGGTGGTAAATTGATGAAGTTCTGGAATTTGAGTTGTTATTGCTGCACTTCGACTCTCAATAGCAGTTAGCCTAATTTATGGAATGTTTACTTACGTTACCTTAAATAATAACTGATCAAACTATAGCTACATAAAACACTGCAAAACTGAAAAAACCCTCAAACGAGACATTTAGTGTTGATGTCAAACAGCTCAAATTTGCCATGCAGCACAGCCTCGTGGCAACAGCACTGCAAGTTCAGGAAAACAAAGAACAGCGCTTTTACTACCGACAACAATCTTATATTTATTTGTGGACCCATCACACAAATGTATATCGACTCAATAAATATTTCAGATCTTTAATGGTGGTCCGTTTATTGATGTCAAATAAGAATAAACGTCTATTTCCTATCCGTTGCTCTTGCATTCGTGTCATGTGGTTTGACCGAAAACCAGGATTGGATCGCGGGGGTCACCTGAGAAAAATCACCACTCGTCATATTCACGATTCCTTGGCTTGTGCTGATGTGACAGAGGGGAAAATTAAATGTACATCTTTAATGTTATGTACATGACATGAAGTTTGACGTGGACAGGTTCTTAACCAAGGTGCAAATACAAGGTAAGTTCACGGACTTATTAAATGCGATTTAAAATTATCACGTCATTCGTCATGAAACTCACGAGGTTGCAATAGCAATAGGCTAGTAGTTAGATATAGTACTTGTAGCTTCCATAAACTTAAGTTTGAAGTTTCACCCGTTTAAAGTGCATGTCAATTTATATTAACGTTACTCGTTATTTGTTTCTACACACTGCCAACGAAATACAAACGGTTTTAGGATACATAAACAATCATTCACGTGTTGTCTCGTGTCTAAAATGTTTTACCGTTCTTTTAATTCAACATAACCCACACTTTGTTTGTAATAACGTATTCCACTCCATATCTTATTAACGGCAGCGCTAAAATGTGGCCGCATTGAGAACGTTTGCGGATGGATACGCGAGGACTTACAGCCATACAGCGCAGTTACGAAATAACCAGAAAATTAGATTTCAGAGTACCACAAGTCAAACAAAGCAATTTTAAACGGTAGTAGGGTTAAGCCGGGATTGTAAAAGTCAGAAAAGAATCTGCTAGCGACTCAACAGGTCGAGAGCTCGTCGGGAGAGAAGGGCGGGAGGGAGTAGTATACGCAACAAAGCCGCGCAGTGAACGCAGCAGTAACCGGTACACCTTCCGTCTTCCTCCACAGCGGTCTCCATTTTAACTCCTCGCCCAGCCTGCACCTCACGTGTCCTGG